TTAAAAATTATTTTTCAACAAAAATAATAAACCTGAATTTTTTAAAAATTATTTTTCAACGAAAATAATAAACTTGGATTTTTTAAAAATTATTTTTCAACGAAAATAATAAACGTGGATTTTTTAAAAATTATTTTTCAACGAAAATAATAAACGTGGATTTTTTAAAAATTATTTTTCAACGAAAATAATAAACGTGGATTTTTTAAAAATTATTTTTCAACGAAAATAATAAACGCGGATTTTTTAAAAATTATTTTTAGCGATAAAATAGTTCTGAGAAGATAAATAGTTCTGTAGGCGATCTTGCGTCAAACTTTAAACAGTTTAAGGGTTAAGAAGATGATGTAAAAACAAACAGCACAACTGGACAAGATGTTATTTTAGCTCCAGCAGCTGTGTAAGTCATCGTTTAGCGTACGTACATAAATACATACGATAATGCATACACGCAGTTCATTCCCTTTACAGGAAACTTTTTTCAAGGTCTCGATCACAACGCACAATCAATGCGAAAAAATAAAGGAAACCTTTAATAGCGGTTATAGGTAGGCTCCTAAAAAGGAAACACTTTTATTAGCATTTAGGAGGACCAGCATCAAGTAGTTGACTTGCCACTTAGATCCTCACCAATGTGTGCACCAGCTAAGCAATATCACCCACTTCCAAATATCGAATCCAGTCCAACCAACCATCCAGCCAGCATCCGTCCGTGCCCAGCAAAGAAATTAGACGCACTATTGTCCTCATACAAATCCTCTTTGTAACAAGCGATCAGAAATGATCAACATAACGCATCTTCATCTGCAAAAGCAGAAAGAAAGGCTGCCAGACAGACAAACATCCAGACAGACTGGCCATCGGCTGCATACATCTCCTTCACCAGCTATTATCGTCATCGAGCGGCATTACAGTGAACTTGAAAATAACTAAAACGTATTAATATTGCTCCATCACCACCAACAACAACAGCGCCAACAACAACACCAACATCCACACCACTAAAACTGCAAAAAAAAAAACCGAGCCGAGCAGAACTGTAATAATGCAGAAGCAATCAAAATAAATACTAATAAAAAAGATGCCTTCTTCTGCTTCTTCAATCGAAAGGCGCTAAAGGGAGACAAGCAGCAACGACAAAACAAATTGACTAAAGGAGAATCCTACGCTTGGGGGATATGAAAAATAAGAAAAAAAACAGGAAAACAAAATATGAAACTGATCCAACGAAAAAATATCTGCAAGTATCAACCAACGCATTACGTGATGATACGAGGTGGGTATAGTATTCTTCGGAACATATAAAACACTACAAACCTCTTGGTTTGCTCGTAGTCTGTGCTTTGGTGCGCTTGGCTATCGACATTTATAGTCACCAGACCATTAACTTCGTTCTTCCTATTTGCTAATAGATCTGATCTATGACTTTTTAAATCACAAATACTACTGGCCGAAATACGTGACAGTCGTTGCTAAGTTTGTAGGATTTGCGAATATTAAAAATATTGAAGAAGACCTCAGCACCCGCTCCGTTTTCCATCCCAGATGGGTTGTCCAAACGTCCCTGTCAATTAGGTGGATGTCAAGTGGTTCGAAGTTCAACCCTGGTGATATGTAGTCACTGATTATGTCTTCGCCTCCTACACATTCGACACGACTTAGGATCGCAGAGTGTCCAATGGATTAGCTTCATCATTGTTTAAGATCTCTGAGCCTGATTTCCTATTCCTCTGCGCAGGTATTTAAGCGAAATAGGGTATGTATTGCGACCTGAGGTGTGCCCCAAATGCATGTGTGATTAATAGCGACGCGTCTCTTCGAACTGTATCAATGTCTCGCTTGAAGGATGACTAACCTAAATAGTGCTACAAAAGTGGATATCAATAGGTTAGAATCGCAGAAATAATTGATTGATATATCAACTAGATTATATGCGTTTTTGGACCTCAACTTTTCCCGGTAGAGTTCTTGCAAAAGTTGAGAGCGATTATGCCGATCTTCGGGGACCTCAGAATTTCTCTATTATAGTTTAGGTTGTGGTTGAAAACAGTATCCTAACTTGACTCCATCTATCATTGATGATGAGAATTCTGGACATTTATGTTTCTTTGTGAAGTACGAAATGTGTCAGCTGTGATCTCCTAATGAAGCTCAACCCAAATTGCGAATTGATGATTCTGTTGCTGAGCATAGCATCAATTCATTCTATGAGGAGCTGGAGGAGAGACTAATAGGTCTGTAGTCCTTTGGAAGTGAATGACTTGGTTTTTCAGCTCTAGGGATGTAAGTGACGGTGACTTCCCTCTACAGTACCGTAATGTGCCATAAACGCAGACAAGTCCTAAAAATCTCCCTCAGAATTGGAGCTATTGGCACCGAAGTTAATTATAGCATGGCGGAAATTATACCGTCTGGTCCGGCTGATTTAAAGGACTTGAACGTGTCCATGGCCCACTTGATTTTGGGCTTGCTTATAATTCTATCAATCAGATTCACATCCCCTGCTGATCAGAGACGATCGATTTGCCGATCGTTTATAGCTTCTGTGCGGTTTGAAAAGTGAGTGCAGGCTAACAGATTAACAGTCTCTTGTCCGCAGTAACTGCACGTGGAATAGGACAGCGTCATTGACGTTTTCTGTTGAATCAGTGAAGCAGATCGATGACTTCTTGATCTCACTGTTGAACTTATTAAAGACGGTCTTATAGGCTTCCCAGTCCGTACGTTGTTTTGTCTTGTTGGCCCTATTGTACAAACGTATGCTATCCCTGATTGTCATTATGCGTATCGAATACATCGAGGGTGGTGGCACCCATGCTGACAAAAATTAGCATCATGCATATAAATCTGCATAAGGCGGCTGCTGCTCAACTTCAAAAACAAAACTTTCCGTCAGGGGATTTCTTTCAGCGAATGAAAGCCGTCTACTGTGGTAAGGAGGAAGTTCCTAGACTCCTCGTTTTCACAACAGATGACTTTCACGCCTTTGTAAAGGGGGCGCTGCCAAACTGCAAAATTTTGGGATCCCTTCTCCCAGAAAGACTATCTCAATCAGACGGCCTTCGATAAACAGCCATTGAGGAAGTTCCTAGACTCCTCGTTTTCAAAACAGATGACTTTCAGGCCTTTGTAAAGGGGGCCCTGCCAAACTGTAAAATTTTGGGATCCCTCTCCCAGAAAGACTATCTCACTCAGACTCCCTTATGGCCCTTTCCAGGCCTTGTGTCCTGTGGGTCTACTGGAACCAATATGGCGACAATTGGCTAATTGATCAATGGAGTTGGGATCGTTTGTGGCGGCAAGGAGGTTGATCCTCAGTGAAGAGTGAAGAGGTTTCGGCTTCCGTCGGAACCACCGAGGCTGTAGCCATCGCGCGGACCTGGCTTCCTTGCTTTACGTCTTCTGCGTTTTTATACCCTCCACCATAGTATGGAGGGTATATTAAGTTTGTCATTCCGTTTGTAACATCTCAAAATATACATTTTAGATCCCACAAAGTATATATATTCTTGATCAGCATAAAATTCTATGTCGATTTATCAATGTCCGTCCGTCTATCCGTTTGTGGAAATCACTCTAGCTTCCGAACGAAATGAAGTAGGTTGATAAAATTTTACTCAGATGTGTATTATGTCTGCAGACTTTTGGTATTGAAAATGGGCCATGTAGGTCCACGTCTTCTTATAGCCCCCATATAACGGTACCCCCCGATATTCGGCATTCTGATGATTTTAGCGACATTATTTGCCGGAATTGTTTCAAATTTTGTATTTGAAGTTCGTAATAGACACTACAGCATAAAACAGAATATGGGCCACGTAGGTCCACTTCTTTGTATAGCCCCCATATAACAGTACCCCCTGATATTCGGTATTCTGATGATTTTAGCGACATTATTTGCCGGAATTGTTTCAAATTTGGTATTTGAAGTTCGTAATAGACACTACAGCATAAAACAGAATATGGGCCACGTATGTCCACTTCTTCGTAGAGCCCCCATATAACTGTACCTCCCGATATTCAGTATTCTGATGATTTTAGCGACAGAATTGTTTCAAATTTCGCATTTTAAGTTCGTAATGGATACTACAGCCTATTACAAAAAATTGTCTGTTCAGGTCCACGTTTTACAACTCCATGGTTCCTCCCTATATTCGGAATTTTGATGATTTTAGCTACATTATAAACAGATTTTTTTCAAGTTTCGCATTTGAATATTGTAATAACTTGTAACAAAAGTTGCCTGTGCAGGCCCACGTCGTCGTACAGACCCTAATATACTGCTACATTCGGTATTTTTAAGATTTTTACAGAATTTTTTACGGATTTTATATTTTGAAAATTGACAAATTTGTACCAAATGGTGGAGGGTATTCAAAGTTCGGCCCGTTCGAACTTACAGCTTGTTTACACGTTTTTTTTAGAAAACCTATTACCTATTGATATTTGCTATTTTGAGGGTTCGGACCCATTTTCTAACTGAATTAGTTGGATTAACTCGTCTCAAAAATATGAAAGTTTATACAACAGAATTTCCAAATTTTAGAGATTTTGGGGATAGCCGATTTAGTTCTAAGTCAAGGTGGAAGGTATAAAAAGGACGGAATGGAGATAAAATCGATTTTACAGATCAAACACATCAATATATTTGCTTTAACAACAACTTAATCGGTTTCAAATGCATGAATGTAAATGTGCAGGTTATCGATGGGGTTCGGAGGGGCATAGTATGAAAAAGACACCACAAAAAAACAGGCTGAAAAGTGCACAAGATAAATGTAAAATAAAATGTAGAAGAAACGCCATAAGCTTAGCAGAGTCTGAAATATCGATGACTGGAACAGGTCAGCAGCTATATATTTTCCAAATATTATCGGATGAAAAAGAAGTGTTTAAAAATGCTATGTATTTCTCCATTTACATTTTTAACACTTCTGCCTAAATTTTCAAAACTACCAATTCTATGTTTTTTTTTTTAATATTTTTTTATTTATATGTATAAGTTTAAATATTTGTGTAACATAAATAAACTAAAAATAACCACAAAAATATTATGTTTAAAACAAAATTAAAACACCAAGACAAAAAAAAACGAAATGGGATGTACATGGGCCTAGTGATATATTCTAAAAGAATAACAGAAATGAGATTAAAAATATGTAATATTTTTTTTTCTAATAAAGAAATATTTGGTTTAAAATAATATCATATCAAGAGTATTGCTCTATGAATGTAAAGAATATCAATGAGATAATGTTGATGATTTCTTTTTGGAATTTTGTGTGAATGCGGGCTTCTTTTTGTTCTTAAAAGCTACCAACGAAAAGATAATAATAAAAAAATTGATTCTATTAAAAATACATTTATAAAAAATTTTGGAAATTCATTTGTCTTTTTCTGTTGTTGTTGTTGTGGGAGAGAGGTTTTCTTTTTGGCTAAAAAACTTGTTAAAATGTTGGATTTTCTGTTTAACACAATAGTGAGATATTGCCACTTTCATTGCCAGCCAAAAAGGCACGATTCAAGGGCAATACAGCCAATGAAGTTAGAACACCTTTGAATGTTTCCGAACGTAACTTGGTCACGGTGTGTGAGGCATGGGAGCTACTCAAATCGGAATATATGCCAATGCGATTACCAGTTGTGGCATACACTAATTCGGGGCCATTTGTTTGCAGGAAATGGGCAGGTTCGGCAGGGGGTCTAGGGGGAAAAAGAAAATTTTAATTTAATATTGGTACATTATCTTCTTCAAAGTAAATATTTCCACTTACACCAACTGATAATGTAAATTGCCATCATGGGCATGCCACACCGCTAGACTATGATCTAATGCCGAACTAATCAATTGCTGATCATTGGGAGCGGCCAGTTGCAAAATGTCACATTCCATTCTTCGCCATGAATTCAATATCATGCCAGTGCGTGTATCTAACATAACAATGTATCCCGAGGATAAACCCACTGCCAACCAATTTCCCGACGGAGCCACTGTCAAACATCTGACTGTGGCATTATTTTGAGTATTTGTGCTAACACGCCATTCATTGACATATTGCATGCAGCGAGCATCGATGAGCTTCACTGAAGCCTCTGCTGTCCCAGCCAGCACCAGGGGGGAGGGGGAAGGCAGACATTTAACAATTGTTATGGGATTGTGTTTGGGTGAATCTAACACTCCCAATGGCCGACCAATGAAGGGATCCCATATATGTACCCCTGAATCACAGGAGACCACAAAACGCAACGACTCCAAAAAGGCCAAGGAATGTATCGACTTTCGATGATCGGTATAGGTAAATTGACAGGATTTCGTCTTGAAGCCATCACCCTCGCTGCGTAGAGACCACAGCTTGACTGTTTTGTCCTGTGGGGGTTAAAAAGAAAAAATAAAAGGATCAAAAGAAAAGTTATTTTTTACTTGGGATATGCATACAACGGGTCTCCTGCAGATGGAAGACAGAAAGAAAAGCTCCAAAAGCTCTTTCATCGACAAAATATCTTTGACGATCTTCTAGAAGACTTTCGAGAGGTCCCCTTTTGATAGAATACCTTTGAGAGGGCATCTTTAGACAGAAGAAGGTCTAGACACTAGACCTTTTGGGAGGTCCTCATTAGACCGAAGACCTTCGAGAGGTTTTTTATAGATAGAAGACCTCCTATCTATGTCTTCCATAGACATATTTGTATATAGAAGACCTTACAGAGGTTTTCTATAGACAGAAGACCTTTGAGAGGTCTTCAATAATAGATCTTCTGTAGACATTAAACCTTCGAGAGATCTTCTATAGATAGAAGGCCTTTGAGAGGTCTTCTAAAGACAGAAGACCTTCGAGAGATCTTCTATAGATTTACGACCTTTGAGAGATCTTCTTTAGAAAAAGACTTTCGAGAGATCTTCTGTGGAGAGAAGACCTTCGAGTGGTTTTCTGTAGACAAAAGAGGTTCGAGATGTATTCTGTAGGCAGAAAACCTTCGAGAGATCTTCTATAGACAAAAGACCTTCGAGAGGGTTCTACCAGACAAAAGAACTATAAGAGATAATTTATAGAAAGAAGTACTTTGAGAGATCCTCTATGGATAGAAAACCTTCGAGAGGTCTTCTATAAATAGAAGCCCTTCGAGAGATCTTCTATAGATACAAGACCTTCTTCTGTGGACAGAAGACCTTCTATAGGTATTTTATGAATAGAAGACCTTCTATAGGTCTACTAAGGATAAAAGACCTTCTATATGTCTTCTATGGATAGTTCATCTTCTATAGGTCATCCATGAATAGAATACCTTCTAGATGTCGTTTATAGACAGAGGACCTTCTATAGGTCTTCCATGGATATATGACCTCTATAAATCTTCCATGGATAGACGATCTTCTATAGATCTTGTATAACTAAAAGAACTTCAATAGGTCTACTGTGTATTGAAGAACTTCTATTAATGGAAGACCTTCTACAAATTTTCTATGGACAGAAGGCCTTCTATAGGTCTTTCGTGCACAGAAGTCCCTCGAAAGGCAAAAAGCTCTTCTGTCCTTTCGAGGGACTTCTGTCCATGGAAAGAATCTTCTATAGGTCCTCCATGTATAGAAGATCTTCTATAGGTCCTCCATGTATAGAAGATCTTCTACAGGTCTTCCATGTATAGAATATTTTCTAAAGGTCTTCCATATACGTAGGAGCTTCTAAATGTCGTCTGGGGGTAGAAGACCTTCTTTACGTCTTGTATAGATATAAGTTTCAACAATATTCTGTTTCTCATCCTCCTTCCACTCACCTTTGATGCCGATATAAAACTATTCTCATTGTCCAGTGCCAAAATTGCCCGCACCGAATTCGTGTGGCCCACAAATGATTGTAGCTTAATCTGTTGCAAACTCAAGGTGGTATCCTTTTCGGAACGTGTTATTTCATGACGCCAATAGGCCAACCAATTACCCTTCAGATAACGAGTATTGGGTAAATGTTCAAATTTATATGCCACCATATCGAGTACTTCCATTGTATCGATTGGTTGTATCTTTTCCTTGGATATTATCTTTGGTGTTTGCTGGGTTGTGGGGTTAACAACCTCGATGCGATTGCCCACCACCTGGGTGCCAAAACTGTTGGCCGCCTGGGTTTCAGCATTGGCATCCAAACTATCAGCACGAGTTGGACAATCGACAGCATCACTTGATTTTCGAGAATTTATGGTATACGGCTTATAGTCTGGCTGTTCGAATTCATGACACAACGTAAGAACAAATTCCAAATTCAATAGGGTCTTTTTCATGATATCTTCACCGAGAAACCGCAAGAATGCCAAATAGGCACTGTGGGCCAGGGCTGGACTGAATACATCACAAATCTCTTCAAATTCCCTTTTGGCTTCCTGTTGACGTTCAGGGTTGGGTGGTGATATTTTGGCAGTACGATTATCGTTGTTTTCAAAATTAATGGTCTCCCCAAAGGCCTTATCGAAAATGAGAAAAAATGGTCGCAATACCGTTAGACATAAATGTTCACGTGTCATATCCGGTCCCAGGCGCACACTGAGAACATAGATGGCATCGAGGAATTTACGAGCCAACACAGAACGGCCCAAATAGCCGCTGGGCATGAGAACTTGAGCAGAACCCAAGAAACGTAATACTGGCAAGATTATGGAATCCAAGAGAATGTCCTGAAAGAAAACAAATATTAAAATATTTAACATTTTTTTAAATTTTATAATTTTACCTTCAAATGTTCCATGATGGTGGCATCTGTCAGACAGGGTATCAAATACTTCACCAACTGTAGAGTGGATATAATTGCCCCCTCCAAACTACTGGTTATGCGCTTGACTCCCAAAGCTATTAGCTCACTTATGTGGGGAAAATATTGCATTAGAATCACCTGTTCACCATACAGCGAGGCAATGGCCATTAAACATTCCAATACCCGTACTGCACTACGATCACCCACCACTCGAGCATCGGATACCGTGAAATAATTCAAATTTTGAGCATCTTCATTGGCCCGCCCCGATTCGGGTAGTAGATTCTCCTGGCCCACATAGCATAACGTTAACATTTTCAAAAGGTTTTTGGCAATGTATCGAGAGGTGAGTACCGGTCCCAAACGATGAGATAGCCATATCAGGCTAATGCTACTCATTTCGGATATGCAATTATTTTGCAATGATTTCTCTTCGGACATTTTCGATATCACCGAGGCCTGTAGGGAGTCATTGGCTTCTTGGGAGAAACGGGTAGGCTGCTCTTCTTCAATGGGTATTTTTGAAGCGGTACTTTCTTCACCCTCTATTGATTTTTTCTTGTCCTCCCCCTCTCCTGTCTTTTCTTGTTTGAGCCGCCTGGCAGCAGCTCGTATTTGTTTTTGCTCCTCCTCGGCAGCATTTTGTAAAATCTCAAAGGAATCAACACTCTTGCGTGAGCCAATATCACAGTCTATGGTATTCAATTGATAGGATCTCCTAAATACGCTGGCCGGTATTGCTATGGTGGGTGAACGTGGTCCCAATTGGCTATTGTGCAATGGTGAGTCATTGGCATTTTGACTACTCAGAGATATTTTGTCGGCCTCCTCAAATGAGTTATTGGAGATTTTTGAACCATAAATTATTTCCGAAATTGCCAATTTTTCGGGAGTGGTTTCCAAATGACGTTCATACTCCTCCTCCCCCTCTTCTTCTTTGGCCTCCTCCGCTGTGGTTGGTCTCTGACTCATATCGAATGAATCCAAAGATTTATTGGATATGTGATCTGAGGTGGAGATATGATCTGAGTTGGCATCATCATCAAAACTGAAAACATCTTCGATTTCCGGTTTGAGATTGGAGGCTAAAAAAGAAAATAATTAATAACTTATATTTATTAGTAATTTTTCTTTCACTTACCTTCAACTTCCTGAGACAAGGTGTTATCTTCCAAATCCTCTGCCTTCTGGGGTGACATCAAAGTCATGTCATCCTCATTGACCACAACTGTGGGATTATTCACTAGACATAGATTGCGACTACTACGTCTCCCTGCCGCCGAACTGTGATAATGCAAACCATTACCATCTTCCGGCTCTTTATACCCACCCACTGCCTCTATGAGAGGAGCAATGAAATTTTGCAAAAAACATTTCAAGCCAAAGCGAACAATCAAACGTAGCAAAAATATTTGATGATAAAGTTTAACCGATTTTCGAGACTTAAATGAACTACTCGTCGAGAAACGTAAATGTGTGGAAGATGAACTGGACAAGGAATCAGTGATGGAACGATTTCTCACCGATATCATGCCACGTTCAAAACTCTCAACATCATAAAGTTTCATAATCGGTTGTAGAAGATATTTTTGGGTATTCTGAATTCCCAAGGCCTGGGCAACGGCATCAAATAAATTCCAGGCTGTTAAAATCGAAGTATGCTCATCCGTCAGCAGATTTACAATGTGAGGTAGAAGAATATCAATTGGTGGAAATTGTTCAAAACCCACCGGCTCCAGCAGGCGACGTATGTGGGCACAACACGACATGACTTTACATTTGCCAATTTTACGTTCAAACTGCACCCGCAAACGATCGATTTCCGTATAACGTGAACACTCATGGCCATTACACTGAAAGTGGGTATGCAACTCCAGCAGGATAAAGGCAAAGTCAAAGGAGTAAAGAGATCTGATGAGGGCATAGGTAGCATAAAAATTGGTGGGAAAGGGTATCAACAGATTATGGTAAATTGGTTCCAATAGCTGACCCGCCGAAGGCAAAGGCATACCCTTTTCCGTCACCACATCTTGAGCAGTTAAATTCAGCAGAATATTGGTAATGTAACGCAAACACTTGGGTATGTCTTGCCGATATAGCTGATTTATGGTTAGACAAGCTTTCAGACGTGTTTCAAACTTCGGCTGTAAGTTATGGCCAATCAGTGGCCTTATCCTGGGCATGGCAAACATTTCCACAATTAGACATCCCAAAATTTGTAGATCCTTCAATTTTTTCATATGATGGACATGCAGAGGCATGGATTTGTTGGGCTGCTTGTTGGAGGCCAAGAAATTTTTACTTTTCACCTTGGCTGAAGAGGCATCCAAGGGTGAATCGCCCTCATTGAAGAGATGATTGGTAAAGCTATGATTATCCGTATAGTCTTCAAACAACAAATCGCTGGTAAGCATTTTTTCGGGGGCATTCTCTGTGGGCTTTTGCAGGGGAAATGTTTTGCTCACAAACTGCTGGGAAGACTCGAGGGATTGCAACAACATTATGGGATTATAATCCTTTGGAAGTTCTATGAAATTTGTGGTTTTGTAGAAATTACTGGAACTATTACTATCCTCGGGCAATTTCAATGTCAATCTTGGCGATACCTTTGCCGTGTGGGCCACATTGTCTCCTTGGCCATCCAACGACTCTGTCGATTTGCTTAAATTGTCCAGACTTTTGTTGAGCTTTTTACTCGACTTGTGTTTCGTAGGCGGTTTTTGCTGTTGGCTGGCAAAGAGATTTTGTATTCTAGGTGCCTGTTTGGAAAACCAAGGTGATATGGTCCTCTTACCCGGATGTGGATGGGTAAACAACTGCACTATTCCCCGCTTGCAGAGAGTTTTGTGATGATCCACCATTGGAAGGCAGACATTTTTCGATTTAATTGCCGCCTTGCCAGAAAGTTTATAGCCAAAATTCAAATCAATCCAATGATGCAAACGTTCGCTGACATATTGACTTTCCAAGGCCTCACGATGTTTGGCTATGAAATCCTCGGGACATGAAGCCCACGATGGTATTTCGAGATCGGGTAAGTCTTCATGAATGGATTTAAAAATCATGGGATCGGTGTAAAATTCAGGAATGCATTCATCCGGTGTCCATTCCTGTAATCTTTGTATGGAGGCTGGATATTCCGCCGGTACCCAAATGGGTCGAACGTGTTCTCTCAAAATCTGCTGGGGCGTCCTCCTAGCCATATACACAAAATACGTAATTTCTGACAAAAAATCCGAGACATGATGTGCCACCTGTTGTGGGGATGTTGAACAATTTGCCTCCAAATCCCGATGAGCCTGCTGGGTGGCATGTTGAAACATCAAATCCAAATGGATATCACCCTTATTCAAACGGTATTTGCTTTTGGTCAAATCACGCCATTGTAACCCATTGCGGGATTCAAAATTTGTTACCCATGGCATTATGTGATGATAGGAGGGATTGTTTTGCGATCGTCCCGCGGCATTGTTCAATATGGTGAGATAATCGAAATTGCTTATTTGGCCATTACACCACATGTCACAGTAATCTCGAAGAGAGAACTGTTTCAAATCGTACGAGAATTTTAAGTCCAGTTTCAAATTGGATATATCCATGGTATCACCATCAACTGGTAAGTCCAATTCCTGCAAACCCGTGGCTTCACTTGGTGAGTGGGTCATAACTTCCTCCAAAAAGTAGGCCGTTATATTGGCATCAACTGGCGGTATGACCAAGGCCCATAAATTCTCATTCAAAAGAATGTCCTGAAGGGAGAGCTCCCCCAACACCAATCCCTGTTGATGTAAACTTCGGAATAACTGCAACAGCTGGTAGACAATAAACAAGGGCTTATTGTAATTCTTATTCAGCACTGCAGGACTAAAGGTTATGCAGTCATACAATGTGGTCGACAGGCCAGGGGGATAGAACAGCACTGCCATGTATTGGCTAGTTTCTATGCAAATCAATGCAGGCATTATATTGGAATGGCCATCCAAGGCTACTTCCTCACATTTCACATCTGCCGAATCGTCACGTATCCGATCCAAGCCACAATGGATAATGGGGCACTTGAATACCCGATAAATCACCTCTTTCAAAACAGAATCATAGGGTAATAGATTCGCTGTGGCCGTTGTGGATGTACCCAATTTATTTGGCCCCTTTCCACCATCCTTTTCTCCCTTGACATGAGCCCCTGGGCATTTCTTATAGAAATCTGACCAAAGATTACGGAAATTCTCACACATCACCTCATACACGGCCATGGAGTAACTCAAAGGTGTCCTCTGGCCAAAATCATCTCCCGTCCTACTATCGTCCAGTGGACATTTGAGAGGGAAAACTTTGCTATATGGCTGCTTTTTATACAGCTGTACAAGCACTCGGCACCACGGATGTTCCAAGTCACCATCTGGATGTGCTCTTCTATCCAGCGTTGGATGCACTGGGAATACATCGATTTTTCTCTTTTTCTCCAGTGTCTGTAGCCATTTCTTGTCACAAATGATTTGATAACGCTGTGGCTGTGAGGTCTCGGCTACATGCTGCCAATTGATACCAATCTCCAGGCAAACAGTTTCCATTGTACTGTGACTCACTATTGTGGCGCTTTGACTCACGGCTTTTTTTGTTCCACAATGTTTTTTTGTTGATTTTTTTACAAATATTAATGAGGATTAGAGCATTTCCTTCTTGATAAGGCAGCTTATGGGGTCTGCATGCAAAATTTATATGATGATGTTTGCCTTAATTTTTTCCAATTGGGGGTGGGGTGTATTCCAATAGCCGAGAGAATCTTTAGAATTATTCAAATTCTCTTTATATCAATGTCTCTTCTAAGCCATAATAAATTCTGTCGAGTTTTTGTTATTTTTCTTTTGTTAGTTGACTGCTATTTGATAAATATTTTATTTTTTCGCAATTGTTTTGTTTATAGCTGTCAGACAACGAAGCGTAACAATTTTTTTCGTCTGCGTCAATTTATCATTTGTAAACCAATTGACGGCGGCACAAAGCGCTTTCTGCATACTCTGTACACAAACACATTAACAACAATACCCTGTGTGTTATGAATAAAGGAAGAGACAACAGGCCGAATGTATAGAATGTGGAAGAGGCAACATCACGAATGTATAGAAAGTGTGAAGAGGCAATCCCCCGATAAATGTGTAAAATGGAAAAGGCAACATGCCGCAACAGCTGTTTGTTCAGTGTGTTATCGAGCAGATGGGCGCGTTATCAATTCACCTAGCATGGCTTACTGTTAGAATGGGGTAAGAAGCAGACTTTAAAATTCAATTGAATTAAACGTTGAAGACACAATTTAGAATAAAATTTATTCTTCTGCTGTCATAAATAATGGATCTATGTAGAGGAGTGTCGTGGAGTAATGGAGTATGGAGTAATATTTCAGTTTGCTTGTAGGAAATCTTCAATATAGCCCCTTGTGAGAGGCTCGTCTTAGGCAATGTTATACCAGTGAAGGTAAGAGTAAACATCGTTATGAAATTTTCGATGAATGTCTCTGTGTCTGTTATGTCTTAGGTAAGGATTACCTATCATGTACTCAAGCAGAAAAGGTGCTACCCTTGTGAGAATGGTGACCGTTTGTATAGGAGCCCTTCAAAATATTACATATATACGCTGAAGTGTTCACCATAGTGCGTCCCATCTGCCTCTGTGGGCAGATCAGGGCTTGCAGTTACACTTTTTTGGATTCTATCGTATTACAATCGCAAAAATAGTAGAGGCGTTTCCCTATACGTAAGAAATTATGTGTAAGTATACACTTTTAAATACATGTTTTTAATCCCTTTCCTCTTCATCATTTAGACCACTTGAATCTTAAAGAAATAATGTTTCCTAACCAAACTAAATTGTCCGTCCTACCCAATGAGCGCACCCTACTCAATGATCACTGATTTTGTTAATTTTGAACTTCTTCATAGAACCGCAGGTGCCAACTACGTCTCTGAAGGCTGAGCTTTTGTTTTGCGAACATTCTTAACACTTATGTATAATTAGTTACGGAGAAGGCACCTATGCTTTATATAACACTTTGCAGAGCATTCGAACAGTCGCTATAGTTGAGCTTACTGCCTTCCCAGAGGACTACAATCAAATTCATAGTCTTGGTTGGAAAAATCTTTGACCCATTATCTTGGGAATTAATGACCCTAGAGTCTTAAAATTCCTGGCTCATCTTACCAGAGAGAACCCGCTAATTTGAGAGGTGTTACCCATTACGTATTGACTCTTTATTTTCATATGCCTGGTTCGGTTGTGCAAGTAATATTAATTGTGAAGTAATATCAGTTCCTCAAGACATCTTCAGCACACCTCTACTTTCTTATGTTGTTGGAGGATGGGTTTCTCCTTCTGATACAATTGACTTTTATTTTCCACAATTATTTTTGACACATACAAGTGAGATTAGTTCGATGACTTTGGTTTCATAGGGAAATTGATGTGAGATTTCTGCGGAATTGAATCCATTTAAAAACACACTCTTGTTTCTTTGCCCCTACTCAATTTTCTCCATTAAGTTAGGGTGAAGTGATTGCTAATTTTGGGGCCGATGTATGAGATTGATTCAAAGTAAAAATTCTGAGATATGAAGTGAATATTTTCTATTAGATTTCCTAAAGATTGGATTTCGGCTATGGCTACCCTGTCTGCATTTCTACTCATACACTCTCCTACGGCTAGCTTTATTAATTCTTTTGGAGACTTAGGAGTTTTTTTTGAGGTTGAGAATCAGGGAATCCTTCTCCCATTTCTGGAGATATGCGAGCGTTGCAAATTCAAAGGGATATCCTAAACTCAGATTCCGTGAGTCCATTAACTCTATATCTTTCTTTTATGAGTTTCAAAACAGAACTAAAAGCTGCATAGTGGAAGATGGCTTTTCGGTATTGAGCAATGCTCATTCGCTTAAGACAATTTCAATTTCTTTCTTCACTGAAAGGCCTGCTGGCCCATTGAGTTCGTCCTAAAATTAAATGAATAGGGAAAGAAAGGAACAGAAGTGGCGGAGTAAATGTTGGACCGTTTCAGTTTCCTACTCATCTTGACAGAGTAATCGGAGCCGTCGCCACTCCACTTAGATGTAATGGTCCTTCTGTAACAGTGGTCTCTTTCCCGAAGAGTGTCTGTACAATTTTCTTGGAGACTTTACAGTTTTTTTTTAATCTTCTGGAGTAATGTTTATATATCATGTCATGGTCAGGTGGATTTACCAACAAATATATGTATTATTTTATAGCAAGTATTTCTGCCAGAAATTATAAATACGAGTGAGTGAAAGAGAACAATTAATAACATCTCAATGATGACTATATAGCCAAGACTGATACATAAATAAAGAAGTATGGGAGAGATAACACAATAAAAACAATAGGAAAACAAATATTAACAATTAAAAAATCAGGCAAGCTCAAAATTTGGAAAAAAATTGAAAATTAAAAAAAAAACAAGTTAAAAAGTATCAGTCGGTATTGCCGCCAGATATATACCCTCAGCCTATGTTCGATTATTTAAATATATTTTGACTATTGTTACGATTATTCAAACGTTTGACCATCTATGGAGCAGGTTCTGAAGGAATGGGCCAATATTGTCCATTTCCTATCGGACCCAAAAATATGATATAAATATTGCGACAGATGTGCCAAGTCTAAATGGAATCGGATGTTTATTTGGACTTTTATGAGCTTCATGGGTACTCACAACTTCAATATTTTGTGGGGGAGGTACCAGAAGGAGTGGACCGATGTATTCACCCTTCACACCAGACCATGGGTTAATGCACATATTAGAATGTGTGAAATTTGAAGACAATCGGACTTTTACATCACATTTAATGAGGTAGTAATTATTCAAAATTTTGACCATTTGTGGGGGAGGTACTTGATGGAGTAGACCGATATTGTCCATTTTCACACCTGACCTAGTACTGATGCAAATTTTAGGATATGCAAAGTTGGAGCAGAATCGGATTATCCATTCACTTTCTGTGCAAAAAATATATTTTTTGAACATTTCGACCTTTTGTGGCGGAGGTACCAGATAGAGTGGACCGATATTGCCCATCTCCGAACTCGATCTAAGTTTGACAAAAATATTAAGATGTACCCAATTTGGACAAAATCGGATACTCCCTTCGAGAGTTATCGTGCGCACCAGCCAGCCAGACAGACAGACAAACGGACGGACGGACATCGCTAGATCGACTCCAAGTGTTCTGAAACGGATTTGGACCAAAGAGACCTATTGTCTAAAACCGTTATTTCGACTAGGCACGTATTTGCCGTATCAAATGATATATACCCTCTGTAGCCATATGGCTGAGGGTATAAAAATCCGAAAACTACAATTTAAATGAAAACCGTTATACGAAAACATGGACCTGCTTACGAAATTCCATAGGCTGTAGTACCCATTACGAACTTCAAATACGAAATTTGAAACAGTTCCGGTGAATAATGTTGCTGAAATAATCAAAATACCAAATATAGGGAGGTACCTTTATAAGGGGGCTATATGAAGGCGTAGACATGCACGGACAATTTTCTGTCATAGGCTGTAGTACCCATTACGAATTTCAAATGCCACATTTGAAACAATTCAGGTGCAAAATGTCGCATAAATAACCAAAATACCGAAAATAGGGAGGTACCATTATATGGGGGCTATACCAAAATGAGGACCTAAATGGACCATTTTCAATACCAAAAGTCCTGCAGATACAATACATATTTGAGTAAAATTTTATCAACCTACTTCAGTTCGTTCGGAAGCTAGAGGGATTTCCACAGACGGTCGGACATCGCTAAATCGACATAGATTTTATGCTGATCAAGAATATTTATACTTTGTGGGGTCTAAAGGTGTTACAAGCGGAATGACTTCGGAAGTCGATTTTTAGCTGATTTATCTAATCGAAAGATTGAATTTTCAAAGTTGAATATTAAGATTTTTTTAAGTACCATATTTAGATTCCAACTCTTTCATAATCAGATGTATTAACTTCTTTTAGTTGAAAAGATTTATTGTATTTACCACCTGTTTTTTTTAATAACTCAGTTTTTCCCAATAATCTTATTTCTGTCTTTGAAACAATTTCAATGAACCTGACCTACATCAATGTTATTACGCATGCGGATATTTATTTTTAAGCATAACACTTTTTTTAACGTAAGAAGAAAAAAAAGCAAATCTGAAATGATTGCAAAATGTTGGACATGTGCAAAAATACAATATTTTTGTTGTTGCTGATTGAAGAGAGCAAAAAACTAAATTTCTGCATGCTTTTCAAACTTATGCCTTCAGATATATTTCAGTAGGGTCATTCAAAAAAAAAAAAAAAAAAAATCTGAAACACACGATTCACATATTCATATTTCATATTTATTCAATACTCTTGCAATCGCCCGGCCACTTCAAGTTCAATAACACTCGGCCAAATCCAAACACACACAAACTCGGTTTATTTTTTAAATAAATACGCGATATTGTTTTCAAAGTATGACTGCCGATGTTGTTTTATGTACACACATGTGTCAATAATATATACATATGGACGTGCTTAACATTTTATTTAAATTGCATTGATATTCAGATAATGTAGGTCTATATATGTATGTATATATACCTAAAATGCGAACATATGACTCGGTATATTGACTCACTTTTCCCACGATTTGGATTTATAGGTCTGAAGTGTGTAATTTTAATTAGATTTTGTTTAAATTAATTAGTAGTCGTTTTTTTTTCGGTTACAATAACATTGACAGGCCAAATTTGTCGACGCCAGCCCCATCGAATAAAGTTTATCGATCTTTTGCGGAAGTTCGATTCGATTTGTGTTACATTAAATTTTCAGAACACAAAAGGCAATTGTTTTTAAATATGTGGTTTATGATGAGGGGTGTTACGATATAATCGTCTGATGCCCTTTTGAAAAGGTATTTTGACTATAGAAG